ACCACGGGTATCGAAACCCGGTTTCTAGCGTTGTAAGTCCGCAGACATTCCGCTGTGTCACTGGGGGTGGGGGTATTTTTAACCAATGAATATAATAAAAAAGAAAGTAGACCAGCTGAAGTGCGAAATCCAAACCGCCATTTTAATGTTTGATTCATAAATAGTTTTATGCTCTGTATTTTGAAATTATGTATTATATTAATTACAGCGTTACATGTGTATAATTTGACCAATGATAGGTGTTTTTATATTATTATTCGTCACCTTTCTATATTTTAGATACCCTGTTGACGAGAATAACTTTTCAAATCGATATGAAAAGCGAGGTAAACTGTTATTAAATTTTGATGCAACCATCGCATTCTTTCTCAAATGTTCTCTATATATAATTTTAAGCAACACAGTAATTTAAGTTTATGTTCTAATTTTCATATATATAAACTGCACAACCCTTACCAATCACCATTCTAGCCTTATAATGGATCACCAATCACCATTCTACCTTTATAATGGTTCACCAATCACCATTCTAGCCTTATGATGATCCGCCAATCACTATTCTATCCTTATAATGGTTTACCAATCACCATTCTACCCTTATAATGGTTCACCAATCACTAGTCTCTGTTTTAAACTAAATGTTTAAGAATATCTATTTTTCCACACATATGCTTACGTTATGATAAAAATTAACTAATATTAACATTTACTTTACGAATATCAAACAGTTTAGAATACTAAATATAATGTAACATTTCAATCATTTCAAATTCTTCTGTAAGCTGAGGTACAAATGAAATTAGAAAAGCTTGAAGACCGAGAAGAAAATGCATATAACATTAGGCAACATTGACCAGTCAACATTGTAGTTTCAAGAAGTATCAACAACCCAGCTAGGTTGATATTCACATGTCGTTACCTAATGTGAAAGCTGAAGATTATCACGTTCTATTACTGAAAGAAAGAACATAAGAGTTTGTACAAAACTACAACTTATTTTTACATATAAGATCATAGCTGTGTTACAATCTCTGTCATCCAACCAGTTCAGTAGATGACAATCTCTATCACCCAACCAGTTCAGTCTGTGATAATCTCAATCATCCAACCAGTTCAGTCTGTTACAATCTCTGTCATCCAACCAGTTCCGCCTGCTACAATCTCTGTCATCCAACCAGTTCAGTCTGTAACAATCTCTGTCATCCAACTAGTTCAGTCTGTTACAATCTCTGTCATCCAACCAGTTCAGTCTGCTACAATCTCTATCATCCAACTAGTTCAGTCTGTTACAATCTCTGTCATCCAACCAGTTCAGTCTGTTACAATCTCTGTCATCCAACCAGTTCAGTCTGTTACAATCTCTATCATCCAACTAGTTCAGTCTGTAACAATCTCCATCATCCAACCAATTCAGTAGATGACAATCTCTATCATCCAACCAGTTCAGTCTGTGATAATCTCAATCATCCAACTAGTTCAGTCTGTTACAATCTCAATCATCCAACTAGTTCAGTCTGTTACAATCTCTATCATCCAACTAGTTCAGTCTGTAACAATCTCCATCATCCAACCAATTCAGTCTGTAACAATCTCTATCACCCAACCAGTTCAGTAGATGACAATCTCTATCATCCAACCAGTTCAGTCTGTGATAATCTCAATCATCCAACTAGTTCAGTCTGTTACAATCTCAATCATCCAACTAGTTCAGTCTGTTACAATCTCTATCATCCAACTAGTTCAGTCTGTTACAGTCTCCATCATCCAACTAGTTCAGTATGTTACAGTCTCCATCATCCAACTAGTTCAGTATGTTACAATCTCCATCATCCAACTAGTTCAGTCTCTTACAATCTCCATCATCCAACTAGTTCAGTATGTTACAATCTCAATCATCCAACTAGTTCAGTATGTTACAATCTCAATCATCCAACTAGTTCAGTATGTTACAATCTCTATCACCCAACCAGTTCAGTAGATGACAATTTCTATCATCCAACCAGTTCAGTCTGCTACAATCTCTGTCATCCAACCAGTTCAGTCTGCTACAATCTCCATCATCCAACTAGTTCAGTATGTTACAATCTCAATCATCCAACCAATTCAGCAGATGTCAATCTCAATCATCCAACCAGTTCAGTAGATGACAATCGTTCACACAACTAGGCTGAGTAGAACTGATACAGTTATCATTTGGTCATGATATAGGTTTTGTTGCTTAATGTGAAACTGCATATGTTAACTTTATAAATCGTAATGTTACTTATCTTATTTAAACACTCCAACAAATATCAAGTAACTAAAAGTTTTGATGTGACATTTTTTGTCGATATCATAAAGTCATATTTCAATTCTTTTCCCTCTACTTAAACTAACACTTTGTGAGCTTGTATATTTTTTAGGCATAAATTTGAATTCAATAAATCAGACCATAAGCATCATTTCTATAATGTACTGGGTGTCCGAAAAGTCTGGAACCATTTAACGAAGTTTACAGGATATGTTCCACATGCTGTCCTTGTAATTCGAAACAAGTTTGGATTAACAACAGGATTAACTCGGTCTTCTCTTGCTTTGACAACGCCATAATCAGTCACATATCTGAAATTAAGAAAAGTTGCAAATCGGGTATGGTTGCAGACTTTTTCGGACACCCTGTATTAAAGGTTATGTAAATATAGTGTCATACCTTATATATATTTATATTTACAAGGCAACAAATGATTTAATTACATGTGTTTTTCCAGTCTTATGATGGCCTGACATAACCTGGTAGTTAAGGGACGCTCGACTCGCAATCTGAGGGTTGCGGGCTCACCGAACATGCTCACCCTTTCAACCGTGGGGGAGTTATAATGTGACGGTCAATCCCAATGTATGTTGTTAAAAGAGTAGCCCAAAAATTGGAGATGGATGGTGTTGACTAGCTGCCTTCTCTCTAGTCTATCACTGATAAGTTAGGGACTGCCAGCGCAGATAGCTCTCGCGTAGCTTTGGGCGAAATTCAAAACAAACAAGCAAACTGTGTCAGTATAAAATGAACTATAAAGTATTATTCCACAGATATTATGTTATTAAGAGCTTCGTATCAAATATTTAATTGCAGTGAGCGATTAGACTCCCTCTGAAAAAAGGTCCCATATTGTGTTCTAAGCCCATCAACTGATGAGTCTTCTACTTTGTCACAAGAGTTGATAAAACTGTCGGATTAAACGGAAAGGAAATTAAACAAACGAAGCAAAAGAAACAGTTGAAACTGTCGTTGTTACTAGTGGTGGTGAGTAACGTGGCAAATCTTTATTCATGGTAAGTTTACCAATCTTTGTTCATGACAAATGTATCAACCTTTGTTCATGACAAATTTATCAAACTTTGTTCACGCTAAGTTTACCAATCTTTGTTCATTATAAGTTTATCAATCTTTGTTCATAGTAAGTTTACCAATCTTTGTTCACGATAAGTTTACCAATCTTTGTTCACGAAAAAATTATCAACCTTTGTTCATGATAATAATTATAATGTAACTGTCATGCTAAAACACGTAATAGTATGATATAAAAAAAACGATAAAAAATTAGACTTAACTAACCTGAAGTCTTTTTCCAGTTGTAAAGCATACACACTTTGAGTATCGACTACCCATCGAGGAAGACCTTTATTTTTTTCGGTAACTAGGTTAGATGGCAGTCGGATCTCGCCTTCAGATTTGGTAAATGTTTCTTCTTCGATCGAATCGTAATAATCCTTTTCAAGGGGGGTTGTCTTAGTGTGAATGTAGTCCTGATATAATCCATCAAACTTGAAAACGGGGGAGCCGCGGGATATTGGAGATTCCGGAACTTTGTTAGCTGTCATTGAGAAACGACACGAGGAAGATGCTGGGGACAGGGACCCGGAATGGATGTAAAATGTGGAAACTGAACTTTTCGTGCTGTCATCAATATACTTCATGTCATCCAAAGGGAATGCAGTACTAGTCATCCCGCGTCTGACAGGGGGCTCAGAAGACGGTTGGAAACTAACACTGAGCTGACGATCTTGTCTCGAATCAGAAAGCGTCCTGCGCGTGATACAAGGCTTCAAATGAAATTCTTGCACTCCCATAAAGGAATCTGATTTGGGTCTATCTTTCCGGTTCACATCTTTTGTCAAACAGGGCACGGAAAAGTCAGTTTCAATGAAGGGAGCCTCCGAGGAGCCCAACTGAGAACTGACCTTTTTGCTGTACCTTTCTTCAATTTTACGAATGGCAGCACTGGTAGCTGTTATCCATGATTCTTTATCATTGGAAGGGAGACACGAGCTCAATCCTTCTTCGTTATGTAAATGTGGAAGAGCTAAGCTAGGACTGGTACTAATCAATTCATTATCTTCAGGATTGGAGCTGGGATACAAATCTTTTGGGTCCTTCATCTGGTGATTGTAATCTTTTGGGTCCTTCATCTGGTGATTGTAATCTTTTGGGTCCTTCATCTGGTGATTGCAATCTTTTGGGTCCTTCATCTGGCGATTGTAATCTTTTGGGTCCTTCATCTGGTGATTGCAATCTTTTGGGTCCTTCATCTGGCGATTGCAATCTTTTGGGTCCTTCATCTGGTGATTGCAATCTTTTGGGTCCTTCATCTGGCGATTGTAATCTTTTGGGTCCTTCATCTGGCGATTGGAATGATCGATATCTGTGATCTTTAATGTTTTATCATCATTACTGGAATAGGAATTCAAACTCTCATGTTTCTCCATCATAGCACATGACTGTAAATAACGAGCTTAGTAACAAGAGCATTGCTGGAGATGGCTATTGGTCATTTTTCTTGATTTTCTAGAATGGGCACTTGTGTACCTAGAGAAAACAATACAGTAATTGATATATATATATATATATAAACCAAAACCGTAATGTTTATTATAAGATTCTAACCTGAAAAACATGTCTATTATTCATTAACGCATGATGGAAAATGTCTGACGTCATAGCATCCAAAAGCTTTGGGGATATTTCATCTATCAGACAGGATCCAAACGCAAACGTGAAACTAGGAAGATAAAATTAGGGGTTAGAGGTCGAGTGTCACTCCATGAGTGCCACATGTCTCGACTCTTACTGCCTGTCACTGATTTGATCACATATACACACAATTGATGTAATTTATAGTATTAGAACTTTGGTTAATTATTGTGAAATAATGCCTATTTTTCGACACGTTATATACGATGTCATTTATTTTGTGACTTTAACCGCTACTAATGTCACCTCTTTGTAACTTTTACATACGCAGACGCTGTCTCAAGGTTCAGAGCTCCATATTAGGTACATTTCGATTTGCCCCCCCCCCCAGTGGCACAGCGGTATGTCTGCGGACTTACAACGCTAGAAACCGGGTTTCGATACCCGTGATGGGCAGAGCAGAGATAGCCCATTGTGTAGCTTTGTGCTTAACTACAAACCAACTAACCAACCATTTCGATTTTTTTTTACTTTGACCCCTCTTATGTAAAAACAAAATGATACGAATACCAAAATTTATCATCAGCGTAACGAACTAGAAATTACAATTAAACTGCGCGTGGCAGAATAACCACGCCCATTGAATTTAAACAATTTAAAGAGAATCAATAAACTATAAATTCATGCCTAGTAAAAGAAGTCTTCAAGACAATTTTTTCTTATTGTTGAATTCTAAACTATAGCAGTGTCTGTAGTGTACAAGTGTAAATCGTTACTTTGAAATTTAAAAACAAAGACAGCCAGTGAGGTATAATTCTAGTCTTGTACCTACTATCCTGCAATACTCAACTAATGAAGACATGTCACTTGGTGCTCGTGAATGGAAGAATTTTGAATTTTCACGTGTTAATCTAGAAAAAAAAATGATACAGATAACACTTTTCACAATTTCCTTCAAAGCGGATGATTAGATTAAAGGCCCAGCATGGCCAGGTGGTTAGGACGCTCGACTCGCAATCTGCTGGTCGCTGGTTCGCATCCCCGTCCCACCAAACATACTCGCCCTTTCAGCCGTGGGGGTGTTATAAATGTGACGGCCAATCCCACTATTCGTTGGTAATAGAGTAGCCCAAGAATTGGCGGTGGGTGGTGATGACTAGCTGCCTTCCCTCTAGTCTTACACTGCTAAATTAGGGACGGCTAGCGCAGATAGCCCTCGTGTAGCTTTGCACGAAATTCAAACAAACAATTAGATTAAATGCTAGATTTTGCAGAAAGTTATCATTCTGTTTGTTTTTAGTTAAGGTATCTGTACTGTACCCACCACGGGTATCAAATCTTGGTTTCTAGCGTATAAGAAAATTATAAACTGGCGTATTTGTCAAACCATACAAACCCAGTAGTTTCACTGGCGGCCACATTTTTGTTGTTTTTTTTTTGTTTTTTTCGAAAATTGCTTTTAGGCGAGAATTTGTATTCAAGCTTTTGTTTTCAATTCATGCTCCTTAGTGATCTATTATAATAAATGTTTTTAGCTGTGCTTTATTTACGAACACGCACGTTCCGGTCAAAATTACCAAGACAAAAGTCACTATTTTATTAAACATTGACATTATTTACGCCCGTAAATCCAACTTGGGGGGTGAGAATGTTAGCAGTAATGTTGTATTAAATTGAAATAATCAAATTAAACCCATCAGTATGGACTGATATAAGAAAGTGGTCGGTAAAAGAAAACGGCGGTGTGGTTTGGAAGGCTTGTTACTGAACGAGGGTTAATAATCTTTATTGTCAGACGTATAAACGTGACTCTTATAAAACTTCTCAGTTCAACTATGATATTAAAGTAGCCGTTTACCGTCTTCTCTCAGTATGTTCAGAGCGTGCTTTAGAACGAGAGAACCAATAGCTTATAGACGTGACCTGAGCGATGGTTTATAAAGTCATTTCTGTAGCATATGTGACCACGTTAAGTTTTCTACTATTGATCGAGCATTAGAATAGTTACTGGTTTCCATGTTTTTAATGGACAGGGTTTATTCGTTTTAGCCCAAAGCTAAACAATGGGTTTTATGCACTCCGTGCACTGCTGACCCACTGTGTGAGAAAAAAACAGTAAGTAGGTAATTCGGACACAAGTTTTATGGCAGCATGAAAATTTAACTTGTTTTGTTGTTTTATCGTCTTTCACAACGCATTTTTCACTTTTATATAATTATTAAATTAAGCTTCAAAACGACTGTGACTTCTTCCTATCTTGTATTTTAGGTTGTTGGAAATGCCAGGGATTAAATGAACAAAGAACTCACCGTCTAATGAACCTTTGAATTGTAATAAAGTATGTTTTTTTATCAGATAGTTCCTCGCGCAGACGCGCCATCAGTTTCACACGTGTGTGGTATTCCTAACTACATTGATAGATAACCACGATAACTAAAAGAATGACCCCTACATGTTATAGTACAGTTAAAACTGGTTTCCTACCTGAATGAACTGAAGGAAGAGACTGGACACAAAATGGCAGCAAAAACCAATTAGCAATTCTTTATTAAAAGTCAAACAAATAATTCAGTAGGACGTGTACCATGGTCGGAAGAAAGCATTACCCTCTAAATAAAGAGGCCTTTTAAATATAGGAAAGTCTATTTGAGACTGAAAACCACTACAGAGATATCATAATAGGCTCATCTCTCTAACAGTGTACTTTTCACCCACGTCATTTTGTCCAAACTTCAGTAAAAATGTGAATTATCGTGCATTGGATAACCTGTCATATACCAGGAACCTGATAAACTAATCATATACAGAGTAGTTATGTATTGGATGACATACCATACACACTCAAGGACCTGATGAGAGTTATTAAGCCTTTTTCAGCTCTTTATAAAGAAATTTAAAAGCTATTACTCCGTATTTGTGTCGTAGACGTTCCTTGCCTGTTGCACCAATTATCGTTCAATTCATTTTGTCTGTAACTTGTCATTTCGTCATATAATTACTTGCGTTAGTCATACATTTTATAGGTCGTTTTCCTTGTTTGTATTTTTGAACTCTTCCATGGAAGGTGTCATTGGAGAACTACATAAAAGTTTAGGAATACCTGGAGGATATGCCCTGGTGTATGATAAGTCATCCTATACACAACTACAATGTGCAATTAGTACAAGTCTGTCTATATTGGATGACTTATTATACAAACTGAAGGGTATTATAAACTAATTGTTCGGGGTACTTGTGTATTGGATTATTTATACTACGTACTCAGAGGTACAGGCGTTCTTAACATATGCGCTATACATGTTAAGCCATACAAGTGCGGTCACTATAAAAGGAAAACGTTCTGTCTGTCTGTGGCCACATCTCCTCCTATACGAGTTGACCAAACTTGGCATGCTACTTAGCAGTCCAAACGCAAACCCAAATTCCTGTTATACTTTCCCCTGGTCAGAACACTATTTGTTACAACATCACCTTTTCTCAAGTTGGCATACTTTTCCGTGGTCAGAACACTATTTGTTACAACATCACCTTTTCTCAAGTTGACATACTTTCCCCTGGTCAGAACACTATTTGTTACAACAACACCTTTTCTCAAATAGGCATACTTTCCCGTGGTCAGAACACTATTTGTTACAACAACACCTTTTCTCAAATAGGCATACTTTCCCGTGGTCAGAACACTATTTGTTACAACAACACCTTTTCTCAAGTTGGCATACTTTCCCGTGGTCAGAACACTATTTGTTACAACAACACCTTTTCTCAAGTTGGCATACTTTCCCGTGGTCAGAACACTATTTGTTACAACAACACCTTTTCTCAAGTTGGCATACTTTCCCGTGGTCAGAACACTATTTGTTACAACAACACCTTTTCTCAAGTTGGCATACTTTCCCGTGGTCAGAACACTATTTGTTACAACAACACCTTTTCTCAAGTTGGCGAAGCATAATTATAATTAATTTACTTGTCATCAGACATTCGTATTAGGCCTATTATATTTTTCAACACTGTATTCTATGTTTTGTTTCTTAGGGATTTTAAGGAATTAGAAAAAAAAGCGTACAAACTATAACAATTGTTGTTGTAACAAGTGCTCTGACCACTACTATGTTTGTTATGTCCCAGCCGGCCTCACGAGCACGGGATTAAGAGTCGTCGGTAATGGATATTGCGAGATTTTTAAGTTTGTTTGAAATTTCGCGCAAAGCTACACGCTAGCC